AGTCATTATGGACCGATCCTTTCAAATTTTGCACATAAATGCGCATTACCATGAAGATTGTTTTGGTACGGATCCAGACTTTCATGATTTTTTTCGAATTTTAAAATGAATTTCAAGAATTTTAAAATTCATTTTAAAATTCGAAAAAAATCGTAGAGGTCTGGATCCGTACCAAAACAATCTTCATGGTAATGCGCATTTATGTGCAAAATTTGAAAGGAATCGGTCCATAATGAGACTTTGGTACACCTGAATGCATTTAAACTTTTTGGAATATTCTAACAGCCATAACTCCCGAACCGGATGTTGCGCGCACAAACGGATTTCACGCCTATGTATACAAATCTTTTGGCTACAAACTACCATAAAGCAATGCAAAAAGTGTTTGGGAGTGCGCGACTCTTAACGGTTAAACTGTACTCGGTTTACTGAAGCTTCAGAGTCACATATTGCGCCGGCTTATCGGTCACAGAAATCATCCTCATCGGAATCGCGCTTATGGTCGTCAGCTTTGCCAGTATCAGTCTTCGGAAACCTGCTGGAGGACGCCCACTTACGCATAGCCGTGGCGCGAGCCCAGTCTGCCTGTTGGCGCTGTTGGCAACACAGTGGATAGCCTCGGGCAACATGGCTTGCTGTGTAAGTTAGCGAAAGGCGTTCATGCCGTGCTGAAAGATGTGACAAAGCGAGCCCTGAATTCGGCAAGAATACCATCGTACTTAAAGCCGCCGGGACTGGACAGAGGAGATGGAAAACGACCAGACGGATTTACCGTTTCCCGTAAAAAAATGGCAAGCCATTAGTATGGTATGTGACAGTGGCAGACACCTTTGCCCAAACGTACATGCCCGGACGTCACGAGTGCCAGGAAGTGCAGCGGAAGCAGGCGAAAACCATAAGCTGGGAAAGTGTAATGGACTTGCTGACCGATACGTAGTGCAACCGATCGCGTTCGAAACCACGGGCACATTTGGACCGCTCACAAAGAAATTTTTTAACGAGCTGTCGCGAAAGATTAGCGATTGTACTGGTAATCCTCGTTCAGCAGAGATTTTGCGCCAGAAAATCAGTACAGAGTTACAACGGGGAAATGCAGTCTCTGTCATTGCAACATTTAATGACACGGTCGATAGCGAGGATGTGTTTTCGGCTTTTAAGCTGCTAATCGTGAATAATTGCTTAGGCGTAAAATTTACGTGATAAATGCTAGGTACCGGTAGATGCCGGTGCTAAGAAATATCATTCATGTGGCCGTCTTTGATCGACAGAGTACTCAGTTAAGTCATTTTTCTCCTGAAATAATTCGTTGGCGAGTGGCGAAATGCAAAAAGTATTGGTTGGCCAAACTGAATGTAACAAGGATCGAACTCATGGTAGCAATACACATAGACACACGACATACCCGATCTCAGTACATAAACTGGTTGACCTTTGTGGGTTTTTATTTTGCTGCATATAATTGACTTGTGCATTATGAGGAGCAGCGGGCTGTACTTATTAGGTGTTGCACAGTTTCAGGCCTTAAAAACCTCATAAATGCCCCACAATGCCAGCTTGCTGAATTGTCTAATGTCTACCGTTCTCAAGTCGACGTCGTTCCACGTCCGGGCACTGCCATCCGGCTGGAATCCGCTGTACCTGCCGCAAGAACAACCACCACCTAAATTAAACCACGCACTGCATTTCTAGTTGAATACAGATAACATCAACTTGGCAGGGGGTAAAACATGGCAGTGGCAGGTGCCACTGCCATGTTTTACCCCCTGCCCATCAACTTGCCTGCTTAAGAAGCGACGGAGGACGATCCAGTCCTGGGGGTATTCAAGCGTGTGGCACCAGCGCGTGCGCACCGCCGCCACTTTGGCTAAAACGTCGGCGGTGGGCGGGGGAAACGAGCGGTCCATGGCCGACATGAAACTGCGTCTGACGAGCTCCCACCCGTTGCGCCAGTCACAAGTCAGCCGGGGGATGCAGATCAGCGTCCCATCTAAAATCGACTGCGCTGCAGAACCGAATCCGCTGATGCAGCGCAGTTCGTGATCGGGTAAGCAGATCCCGCCCACTTGGACACCGTGCACCGCCATTCGCATTTGGTCATACAGCGTTCCGTGCATTGCCAGTCCAGCGACGACTAGCTGGTGGCAGTATGGCGCCGATTCCAGGAGCATTTCTGGCACCATGTATGTCAGGCAGAAGAAGTTGATCGCGAGAAAAGGCAGCTTGATTTGCATGACCTTCAATAACTTCTGCACAAACCAGGCAATGTGCCAGTTAAACTGCTCCGCCTCCCAGTCATGGGCGCGCGCTGTGATGCTGACGCTCTTCGTAGCGGAAGTGATGGTCCGGCTTAACACCATCGCTACGCGGTAACAGTTATGGTCACCGCGCTGTGTGCTGTGGAAGTTTTCGGTCAGGATCTGGATGTGTTGCGTCGCGCGGGGATTGCCCAGTATTACTTGCCACAATGCACACACTCTGTGGAAGCACAACACGTCAGATGTTGTTTATTTTTGATCGTATTTTAATTTCTAGGAGACTACCTCGACGTTTTTCGCATTCCGGATAATTTGACTGTACGATTTTGCGTACCCCACACCACAGACTCGGTATTCTCCGCGGTGTGCCACAATGTCATGACAAAAATGATTCCATATAAGGAAGTAAAAAACGATGTCATGTAAGTAAGTAAGAAATGACATGACATAATGAAGTAAAAGCAAGGAGGCACAAAGGAGCACTAGCCGCAGTCTTGTGCCGTAAAATATGGAATCTGCAGCAAAAGTTTTCTTTTAAGCGTGCTATCCGCCCTTCTGAAAGGTCGGGTATGGGTCTGGGCACATTGTTGCTGAATAGTGGAAAGCAAAAACTCCTTCGGAACGTTTCCTACGGAAACCTGACGTAGTTGCGAGGATTGAATAGGAATAAATGCGGAATAAAATCTGAAAATGCTTTGATGCCGATACTTTGGGAATGTGACAGCGAACCGGCAACTGAAATGTCAGAATCAGGCTAACCTTTCCCGTTAGAGACTACACAGATTTCTCCCAAAAGCAAGTTTTGAGCTTTAGGAATATGTAGAATTCATTTCTGGAGTTTAGAACAACAGAAAAGTTTGGATTCATTGTGGCGACATTTCCTGATTTCCATCAACGATGTGTACCAAGAAGAATTTTGACTCATTGAAAGCAGCTGCAAGACCATAATTAAGCGACTACGCTTCGCTCCGGTATGCCAGTGCACGCCAAGGTGCATTTTCCTACTTAGGGATAACATTTTTTATTAACTGAGAAATTATATAAAAAATTGCCAAGTTTTTTATTGCGGGACAGCGCAGAAACTACCGTGTGTCTGTGTGTCCGATAGACGAATGCGCATTGAGAAACTGTCCGGAATGCGATAAACATCCGAGTACATGTACATATACAAAATGATCAGAGCAAATATACCGCTTGGTTTGGGCTTGCGTATGCAGGTCAAGACCTTCCAAGATCTCCGTTAACAGTGCAAGTGAGAGATGGCATAAACAACCAGCCGAACAAGATCCTTGAAACAAGAAAAAGGAATACAGATTCATACAGAGCAATTCAACAAATCCATTTGAGGTATAATAACGAATATAAATCCATTATATCACTTAGTTAAATGCAGCTGCAGTTACCGGTACTCAGCGAGCAGACTAACCTTCCAGGCACTCCAAAGCCTGGTTCGTGGGAACTATTGGCCGACTACTGCAGGACGCTGCCTGCTTTTCCAGGATCAGAATCTTCAACAATATTTCGCCAGTCCAGTTCATGGTTGCGGTGTCTTTCTGGCTGCCAACCACCGTAAATGTGCACATATCGGAGCCGATTCGCATATGGAAACGACAGCTGTCCTCCATGCCGGTCAACGTTGGATGCGCACTGTACATCAGACGGAAGATCTCAATCAACTGCGGCACACCGAAGAATTTCGTCGTGTCAAAAATGATTTCGTGGTCAGTGTACAGAATACCGCTAGTTCTTGCCAGCAGCGGCGGTTCGCCCAATGCCAGCTGGCTCACGATCTGGCACCGATCAACAACGGCAACACCAGACGCTGAACTTCCCGGCATGTTGGTGCTGATAAAGTACATTTGGCAATCGTAAACGAAATGGAGCAATGTGGCCGGACGAAAACGAAATGGGCCGTCGTGTTCATCGCGGAGAGCGGCGAATACCGGCATGTTGTGATATTCTCGAAAAAGTAGATCCCTTGACAGGAACGGTAGCGGCCACACTCTTGAAGAATGGATGTACCGTGCAGGTTCTTTGAAGGAGTCAAAATCAACCAACACGGAGTCACCGCGAATATCCTGGATGTATCCCAGCCACCAAGTATCCTTCTCCATTTGCACGGCTACAGTGTTCTGGTAGTTGATGCAGTCCTTGCCAACCAAAAGCCGTCGGAATGACGGGATCACTAGTCTGGAATCCATTTCGAGCTACAGCGATGCCCAGTGCCTAACCGGCGATCCTAAGTTACATGAACGTACTGACTGGAATAATTATCCGCATGGATGTACAGTAGACGCTGTTTGCCCAGGTATGACTACAAGAGCATCGTCATCGTTGGCCGATTGGAATGGCCTGGCGACTGCTACGTCACAGATCTCTCCACCTTTTGCAGCGTTAAAAGTGGGAATCAAAACTGAGCGAGTCCACACTTACAGACGTAACAGCAGTATGCAGTGGAGCTGTTACAGACTGTAGCTGTATGCGGGTAATGATCCTTATTAGGCCACAGCCAGCAAACGTTTTTGTAATTTACACTTTACAGATTTCTGTGTCTTCGCTATGGGAAACAACCATTTATCCTCATTAACTGAAATTCAGTTAAGTACTGCGTAATCAATTTTAACAAACGCTTGTTAGAGCCTGAGCGGCTTAGAGCAGCGCGCGGTCCAGCCGAACGGTAGTGCAAAGGATTGACTCGCTTTCTAAGGTGGGTGCCATTATCGAAATGTGTCTCCAACGCGGCCGCTACGGCGTGTTGCCGGCCTGTGTGGATCGAGGGGTTGGTAGTGCTGCTGCACACAGCCGTTCCCCGCTAATCCTCCGCAGCACGGCACTCAGGGTCCGCAGGACGGCGCGCCGATAATCACTGCTCAGGAAGATGTAGATCATCTACAAAGAAAGGTCACTGAACTATTACGCTGTTTCTGCGTCCGATCTGATTCAGCCGTGTGCACACGGTCTATACGTAATATCGGTATTGGAATGCCGGCATATATCCAGATAATTACTGATTTTTAGTATACACTTGCAGTTGCAGTAAGTAATAATCTGTCACCAAAGGGAGCGTATTGCAATGTGCTGCACTACATTACCAACCAGCGCTAGAAACGAAGCATACCGGCGTGCCGGCTGCGCCAAAGTTCGTCAACGAATTAATCCAGAAGAACAAGAGCGGCCGACCGATCCATATCGTGGGGAAATGCGCGGCGATGATGGGCAGCGGACAGTAGCAGGCGACGTACCACACAAAGGACCCCATCAGCATCACGGCGATATTCCGCTGCCGCCGCCTCCCACTCGACTCCCGGACCTGTTCTCGCCACGAGCGGAAGATGCTGGCGACGACGCACAGATATAGCACGCCCTGCAGACAGAAGGGAACGTTGACGCTCAAAGATATCAGGACAGGGTACAGCGGATGGGAATAATGAATGAGTACACAGGCGCCCATCAGCGGACTGAAGGCATAATACCCTAACAAATCCGTGACAAAAGGAATCGTCGCCAGACACGCAATAATGCCGGCCACCGCCACCAGGAAGGCGGTGGCCCGGCGACTGGAGATGTGGGGATAGCGGTGAGGCAGGAGGATGGCTACGAAGCGGTTAAGGGTCAGGGCGACGGCGATCCAGTGGAGCATGGTGAGAAGAATGTGCCGGGAGAACTGCACCAGGACGCAGGTCACCGGCAGGGTGTGGTGGAGGTTGGCGGTGAGGATGGTAGTGGTGAAGAGAAAGGAGGGGAGCGCCGACACCGTCTCCAGACTCAGCAGCCCGATCACCAGTAGGTGGGCGCCTTCGCGGAGGGGTTGGTGCCGGAGGAGGGCGCAGATTAATAAAACGGCGGACAGGACGCCAGCGCCGGACACGGCGGAGGACACGCCGTACCACCACAGAAGCGCATCGTGCTGGCTAGCGACGATCCCGGCTGCGGTGGAATTGTTGTTGACCATTGCAGATTGTGGCATAAGCTAAAAAACCGTATTTTGTGAGCCACTCATCCAGACATGTAAACTGTCTTTCCGTACAAATATTATGCAAAGGATTAGGGAGAAAAGCATCATTGCCTTCCTTCTGCTGGGAGGATGGAGAAAATACGGACAACCGCTTTATGACCTCTGGCTGTTGCTAAGTAGTGCACGGTGGAGCGTTAATGCAGGATACATTCCTGTCTCCAGATGTTTCCGGTCTCCTGAGTGCGCATTGCGCAGCAACTACGTGCAGCCCGAAATTCGGTCCGCCGCTCCTTGCGAAATTATAAGAAATCTTTTAACAAAATTGTTAATTACTATTATTAATCCTGTGTATAATGAAGAACGGCTGTCAAACATTCACAGGGTATTAGTTCAAGAGTCTCACGGGGACATAAATGCAATCATGAGATCGGTTAGCACTCATGATATCCGCAGCGGAAGCGCTGACGCAAGGCCACCAGCACCGTTATATACAGTCGACGGCAGTCATCCATGCGCGGCTTTTCATTAAGGGAATCAGGTGTCAGATACCCGGGCCGAGACTGGCTGTTCCGGTAATGAAAAAGTATTAAAAAGCACTATTAATTAGTTTATAAATCTATGTTTGTCGGAGTAACCCGAGCCATATACCAGCTGGCCAAAGTCATGTCTTGTACAGTCGAAGTTTGTTTGTTTGTTTGTTTGTTTGTTTGTTTAATGAGCTTAATGTCTACAACATTCAGGTGTTAGTATATAACTCCTGCACGAGGTTATATACTAACATGGGAGAAAAGGCTATCACATCAGTGATAGCCTTGCATATAAAACATCGCAAACCTAAACAACAGTTTTACAGTAAACAGTAATGATCAACATGAAGTTGAAGGAAACGCTTAGTCCACTTTAAATCCGCCCATTCAACCGTATCCAGGCAAGAGTCAAAACTGTTAATGCGGTTAAGTGCAGAAATTTTCCACACGATAACAACTCTTTTCCAGTCTGCATTCTGAGAACTGGGTTGTGCAAAGAATGCGTCACAAAAATCACACTTTCACTAAATTCACTTTGTTTTCTCGGTACCTTTCAGTCACGGTTCGCTCACGGTTAAGGGTCACGAAGGCCAGTTTATCGCGGAAGGCAGAGGAAGGCCAAAAGTTCATCGGAGCCGATGGAGCCGGCTGCCTTAAACAGGTTCACGGTAGCATCGGTAAGGTTAAATGCGCTTTTCAGTTCATCGAAGGCCATGTGGTCGGTTACTTCCGGAGCGACAGCGTCGATGAGGTTTCCGGTGTTGGTGTAATGTTTAATGGTTTAACGTCCGCACACATTCAGGACAAGGCCCTGTTCGAGGCAGCCTACCATACAATAACAACCAAAGTACAATATGTACAGCAGAATTTCAGAAAAGATTGAACAACAACAACAGCGAATTCAAGTAATAAGACTTAATACTATACACCCACTCTTTAATGAACGCATTTGTAGGCCAAATCTCACGCTCCAGAATAATTTTTCCTCATATCTGTGAACGTACTATTACGGGCCAATGTGGTTGGTACCGCGGTGCTGCCATCCCATGATTTGCTTAAAGGAGAGTGATAAGGTCAATTTTTCCCCGCTTAGCTGAGTCCAAGTTGTGCACAAAGTGACTTCATTAGGCTGACTGTTCCATATCGATTCTTCAGCTGAGACTTGGTGAGAGTGGCTGGAGGCGGCCTGCTTGCGCTACGGTAATCGAATCGACACTGACAGGGGGGGGGCGCCCGGAGGGAGAAAACGGGAAAATTGTGCGCGGGACTGGCGTAACTGCCGCTAAAAACGGAACTGGCGCACCGAAAATTACAATAGAAAAGCGTAGAAAAGTGGCTTTTTCGAGTCAGTTTTCTACGATTTTTTTCAATTTTGGAGCCATTTTCCAACGCGCCGGGTGCGCGACCGCGCCCCCCCCCTACCCTCGGACCTCGCGACGGCCCTGGATACTGAAATCAGACACTAGTTCAGAAGTTTGTGCGCACTGCGCTCGTTCATAAAACATTTTGCAACTGGAATTTGCACACTTATATATGTAAAGCTACCGTTAACTGGATTCGAAAACGCAGCTGATATACTGCGCTCACCACAACCAGAATACAGAGTAATAAGCAGATTTAGGGTTAAAATCTAGAACATTATGATATTTGTGCGGTCTCTTTGGTTTGTTTCGGGGCCGGTAGGCCGGTGTACGTGTTGAGACGTATAAAAGGCGTATCACATTCCACCGTACTGTCTGTAATTCGCAGTCCAAAACTTTGCTCTCGTTGTTGTGGGCGTTGCGTGCACTACAAAAAACTCCAGTTTCCGTTGCATCAGTTGTTTGTTAATGGACTGACGTAAACTCCCGCGAATGGGAGCATACTGGAGATCAAATCGCAGTTCACAGTTTAGAACTTCAGCACGGCGAGCGGCGTTCTTCTCGGCACTGTTCGCGCGCATCTTGACAAAAATTTATTTTTGTTTCTGGTACCGCGTTTATGCATAGAGATCCCTTGTCCAGGCACCCTTGTGGCCTTGTCAGCCGCAATTCAACGATAAACATTTAACGAAGTCCATGAAATTAAAGCCGCGGTCCAGTCCAGTTTTTGAATAGCCCCGACGGCCCGTTCCCTGGACGCGTTTTCAACGCGGCCGCTAGCGCGACATGCCGGCACTGTTGGCACCATGGCCTGTGTCCAGCGAGAGTTGGGCGGCGCTGCAGCACACAGCCGCTCCCCGCTGATCTTCCGCAGCACGCCACGCACTATCACCAGAACGGCGCGCCGATACTCGCCGCTCAGGACAATGTAGATTGTCTACAGGGAAAACGCACCGATTTTAATATCCGGTTGCTGAGGCCGGATATTCGTTTTAGCCATGCGCACACACCGGCGCGCTAACGCGGCAGTAATATCGGTAGGTGACTCGGGATGCCGGCACCTACCCAGGTTTACCAGGCAGGAATTAAATCACAAAGAAACTGCAGTAAAATTCTGGGGGTACGCGCTTCGGTATGCACCATTGTAATCCGCAACCGAAATTGCCACTATTTATAAAATTATTTGCGTCATTAGACATGTTTCGAATTTCATCAGGAAATTGATAACTACCGGCGTGCCAGCTGATCCGCAGTGCATCAGGGAGTTGAGCCAGTAAAGTAGCAAGGTGTGCGTACGAGGACATACGTCGTCCATGCAGGACAATGCACCGTGCCTGTTACTGATCCCAACGGGGATAAACGAAGTTCCGAACTGACGCAGTTTCTGTGTACTTCAAATAACACCGTTGGCCGATGGGAAATGGGAATGGCCTGGTGACTGCAACTTTATAGGTCTCCGCATCTTTTTGAACGGTAAAAGTAGAAATGACACCTGACCGAGACACAGTTGGTACAACGTACAAACATGCGGGTAGGGATCATTATTATACAACACCCCCTATTTGTGCATTTGACATTTGACGGGATGTTATTTCGGCGATATGCATGAAAATCCTTATCCTCATGAATCTAAAGGCGATGTTTACAGTGTATTTAAAGGCAAAATGAGATAGGGGTTGAAGGATCGAACGTAGACATCCCGGTTGACTTTGTCGTTGCGCTGACTGCCCGGCGTGTCTCCACTGCGGCCGCTAGCGGGTGTTGCCGACACTGTGGGACTGGGCACCGCCTTGTGTGGAGCGAGAGGGTGGCGGCGCTGCAGCACACAGCCGCTCCCCGCTGATCCTCCGCAGCACGCCACGCACGGTCGCCAGGACGGCGCGTCGATACTCGCCGCTCAGGAGGATGTAGATCATCTATTAAAGAAAGGCCGCCGAAATCAGGTACCGTGCGGCTGCGACCGGATCAGTTTTAGCCATGTGCACACGCGCTAGCGCAGCAATTATATCGGTAGCCGGTAGGTAGCTCGCAGCAGTTCTTACGATGTCGGCGAATGCCGCGGTTACCAGGTATGTAATTAAATTAAAGGACATACGTAATTGCAGTTATACAGTAGTCTGCAAGACGCACTTCAGTACGCACAATTATCATCCGAAACCAAAATTACCACTATTTACGAAATTATCCTGCGTGATTACATAGGTGCAACACGGGCTAGCCCAGGATACGAGTTACCGGAAGGAAGTTATAATCAAATTGGCTTGCTAGATGTATATGGCACACTAAAGTATGACAAGCTGCATCCCAGCGTGCGACAGTAGGTACAGAATCTGGTACAGTCGGTACAGTAGTGCCGGCGATACATATCTCGTAAAAACATACCGGCGTGCCGGCTGATCCGAAGTGCATCAGTGAGTTGAGCCAGTAAAACAGTAACGGCCGTCCGCGCCATACGGTGGGTATATACGAGCTGATGATGGGCAGCGGACAGTAGCAGACCACGTACCACACAAACGAGCCAATCAGCATCACGGCGATCGTCCGCTGCCGTGACCTTACCACCGACTCTCGCACATGTTGCTGGCACGAGCGAAAAATGCTGACGATGACGCACAGATAAAGCCCGCCCTGTAGACTAAACGGCACAGCGACACTGAGTGACAGGAGAAACGGAAGGATCGGATGGGGGTACAGAACCGCCATGCAGGCGCCCATCGCCGGACTAAAGGCATAAGATCCCAGAATGCCCAGAACAAACGGGAAGGTGGCCAAACACCCGATGCCGCAACACACCGCCACCAGGAAGGCGGTGGCCCGGCGACTGGAGATGTTCGGGTAGCGATGGGGCAGGAGGATGGCCACGAAGCGGTTAAGGGCCAGGGCGACGGCGATCCAGTGGAGGACGGTGAGTAAAAGTTGCCGAGGGAACTGTACCAGAACGCAGGACACTGGCAGGGTGTGGTAGAGATGCGCGGTGAGGGTGGTAGTGGTGAAGAGGAAGGATGGGAGTGCCGACACCGTGTCCAGAGTCAGCAGCACAATCACCAGTAGGTGGGCGCCCTCGCGGAGGGGTTGGTGCCGGAGGAGGGCGCAGATTAGTAAAATGGCGGACAGGACGCCAGTGCCGGACACGGCTGAAGACACGCCGTACCACCACAGGAGCGCCTCGCGCTCGTTTGGAAAAGTGCTAAGTGTGATGGAGCTGTTGTTGGCCATTGCAGCCAGTGCATCAAAATATGTTACAAACTGTGACTGTATGCGTAACTGCCAACGGAATTAAATTCTGCTTCCCGAGAACGGCAACCTTGATGTTATTCTGCCGGAAGGGCGGGGAAAATTAGAAGTTCTCGGGTTGATACACTGCCCTTGGCTGTTCTTGATAATGTCAGATGACATAATATGGAGAATGGAGACATGGGATACCGCCACACTGCGACAATTAAGCGGACACCCACTTCTGCCGGCACTGAAGCGTTTATTAAGCATTACCCAAAAAGATGCTGGAGCCTAATATCTTGCCATCAGATATGTTTGTAAAAAAATGGATAGACCGATTTCGTGAACTGCTAATGTGTATTAAGCATTAATACCGAAACTGACCTTTAATGGGTAATTGGGTACCACTTGTAAGTTGTAAGTACTCACGTAACTGAGTGCTAAAAAATGTTGATGCTGCACTGATGGTAAAGCATTAATGGCAATATTGCACTTAATCTTTTGATCATGAAGCTTTAGTTCACGAATCCTCGTGCCTGGAGCCATGCAAATGCCCTTTTCTGTTCTTTTCTTCGGACACCGACCCTGCACGACAAGCAGCCAGATCTAGAGCAACCTGTGCTAATTTGAAAAAAATACCTGATTGAAATCTTATAATAACTTTTTTAATGGTATTTTCAATTTTGTGCTATTCGGATATTAAGCACAGACATGTTTATTAACTAAACGAATTTTCCGGTAACTTGCGGCACCCGGCTTCGGATCTCCTTTATAATTTCCGCGGCGGAAGTGCTGATGCAACACCTCCAGCACAGAATCATGTGCAGCGCCGAAATGATGGGAACAAGGTGTCAAATGACGATACCGGGACATATATCTGTATATATTGTATATATGTATGACATATATCTGTATATGTATATACATGTCCTCGCGCTATAAAATGCCGAGGTCACCGTTGGCGCTGGGTAACGTCGCCGGAGGCGGGAAGAAATCCGGATAGTGCACGTAATATTCTTGATATAAATGCTTGTTCGGAGATTTTAACTAGCTGATTGCTGGCGCTTTCAGCGCTACAAGAAACGCACCCTTTCGAGGAACACTTAAGTGGGAAGGGAACGCCCAGGACCATTAAGTCAAGAGCCGACGGTTGGTTCTGCTAAATTGCCGCGGTTAAGCGGATGAATGCACAGTACTTGTATTTTATAACACGCGCAGACTATGACTCCTCTCAATACTCAAGGTTATTATTTAACAGAAAAGATGGTGTTTTATAAGTTTATAATTCAGATCGATGTCTGGCATGCATCAGCCATCACAGTTTCGGTACAGCAGAATGCAATTAAGGGAAGTGGCCTGGTACATGGTACCAATTCGTGTACATGCACGAAATCTTTCACTTTCGCGCACTCCCAAACCCTTTTTTCTCTTGTTTTATGACTGTAGTCAATGATTTATACAGGTGAAAGAGCGCAACATCGGTTCGGGACTTATGGCTGTTAGAAAATTCCATAAAGTTTAAGTCTCATTATGGACCGATCTCTTTCTGATTTTGCACGTAATGCATAACCACGAAGAACGTTTTTACACCGATCCACTGTTCTAGCATGTTTTTCAAATTTTAAAATGAATTTCAAAAATTTTAAAATTCATTTTAAAATTTGAAAAAAATCGTGGAAGTCTGGATCGGTGTAAAAACGATCTTCGTGGTCTTGTGCATTATTTACAAGCAAAATTTGAAGGAGATCGGTCCATAATGAGACTTTTGGTACACCTGAAAGCATTTAAACTTTTGGGAATTTTCTTACAGCCATAACTCCCGAACCGGATGTTGCGCGCGCACACGGTTTTCAGGCCTGTGTATACAAATCATTTGACTACAGAATGTCATAAAACAAGAGAAAAAAGGGTTTGGGAGTGCGCGAAAGTGAAAGATTTCGTGCATGTACACGAATTTGGTACCATGTACCGGGCCACTTCCCTTAAACGTTTTGGAATTTTTATTTACTCAAAACTTTCCAACCGGATGTTGCGCGCGCAAACGCATTTCACGCCTACGTATACAATTCTTTTGGCGAGAAAATATCATAAAGCAATGCAAAAAAGTGTTTGGAAGTGCGCGACAGCGAAAGTTAATTTGGTGCTGTGTACCGGGCGAAATCCCTTAAATGTATGGCTATGATTAAACGGAGCAGTTGCGGAAAATGTTTAAACTGTGACGCGAAAGGATATAACTCATGACGTCGTTTAACTTTAATTCACTGGCCTCTGGACGCGCCTAATTTTACTTCACTTTCTGGCAAGATTTGTAGCTAAACTATTGAGTCACATATAAAAATTCCGGCTATATTCACCAGTCTAGACGGACAGCTTTTTGACGTGGTGGTAACTAATCCGGCGTTCGCCCAAACGAATAATACACGACCAGGGCTGGTGCAAAAACGCCAGCCCAAAGAACACATACAACCCCATATTCAGCGTTAGCGACCAGGACCGGGTGCGGGCCACCATCCCCGGCAGGAAGCCGTCCACCTCGAAGGTCTCCTCCAGACTGTACTCCTGATCCCGGCGGCGGTTGGCGTTGACGAAGGCCTCCTTCTGCGCCTGGAAGGCCTCGCGCGACCGCTTATCGGCCAGGACGTACTTTTTATGAAAGGTCACGGTTTGGTAGGAGCCCGTGGGGGCCAGCTGCTCCCCCGGGCTGACGTCCTCCCAGCCGCGGAAGTGGAAGGTCTCCTCGCCCGTCCAGACGATGACCTTCTCGTTGTGGTGCTCGGTGCGCGAGGTGCCGTCCGGCGCGGTGATGGTCACGGTGCGGTTGTCCTGATGGAAACACTTCATGTGCCAGGTGACGCTGGGCTGGCCTGGGTAAACGAGAAACAACACTCGATAGGCGCAAGACGTGCGGTAATCAATAGGCACCGCGGTGTGTTAATTACAGCCATGACAAAAATACCTATTCAGCCCATCAAGTCAAAGAACAAAATTGCTAACCGACATTAATCGATGTAAATGCGTTGTATAATAACCTAACCGGCAAACATCCAGCCGGTTATAATTACACAGTAGGAAAAATCGATAATTGAAATGCCAATAAATCAAGGGGATTTTACAGACGTTGGCGCAGCTGCGCACCATGTCCCGGGTTCGATTCATAGGTTGGGCAATTTTAATCTCATAAAAGCAAACAGAAAAGATGTACAAAATTTTCTGTATAAATGTATGATGCATATAACGGTACTTCAAAGTATATACAAAGTGTATAAGAAAAATGTATACAAAGATGTATATAAGGATGCATATAAAAATGTATAAATATTTAAATAATGAAAATGTATAAATGTATAATTAAAAAAAAATGTATAAGTATATGCGATATTTATGTATTATAAGAAATGTATAAAATTAAGCAAAAAATGTTTGGTAATTCATCGCCGCTAATGTAGTTTGGCTTCTGTATCTGGATAATAATAATAATAGTAATAATAATAATAATTTTACCACGCGCGACAGCATCCAGATGATTCTGGAGATCGGCCCGGGAGGCCATCTTCCTTAACGCCTTAAACGTGTCGCTGGCATAGAACACATCGCCCAAGTACACCGGGTAAGCGAAGAACAAAATCACACAGCCGAACGCCAGCCGCAACCCGACCTTTTTCCGCTCATTATACCCGGCATCCGCGGGCAACCCGCTCCAGTACACATACTCCCAGTACAGCAGCCCGAAGCCGACGGCGTTACATAGTAAAATCACGAAGCGGATACAGCCCATCGTGCTGCAGCATTCGGTGAAGCAGGCCCGGCCGCACACCGAGTCCCCGGCCAGATCGGTGTTCTGGTCTTCCAGGAGGTCGTCCGGCGCCGTGGAGAAGCTGGTACGGCTGGCGGCGTAGCTGCTGCGCACGTGCAGCAGCGGCGAGCTGAGGCTGGCCGGCATGGGGTGGGCGGGGTCCGGGTAGGGCGGGGGCTCGTCGCGGGAGCCGCGGGGGGTGGCGGTCAGGTGGACGGAGCCGTCGCCGCTGCCGTCGCCGACGCCGCGGTAGTGGACGCTGATGGTGCTGTGGGTGGAGCTGGTGCGCAGACGTGATTCCGCCATTTTAATTATCACAATAAATAATAATTAAACGGCCGCCGGCAGTTTACGTAACAATTAACGGCCGCCCGGCAATTAATTTAATATGTACGGCCGCCGGCGATTTATGCGGCCGTGCGCGGTGAAATTCCCAAGTAGTGGATGCGTGGGAGCGTAATAAATAATGCAGGCAGCGGATACGCGCGGAGTAAACACTCAACTAACGTCGCGATTTAACTTTACAATCGGTACACACCAGGCCGAGATCAATAGCCGGGTCAGTGTGGGGTGCGGAGCGGCGGCAAATGATCAGCGATTTGTACAATGGCCATTAATATCCATAAAGCAGCGATTACGCCGACGTCAGCGGGGCACACTGACAACAAACTCTCGTTACACAATGTGCGCGACATGCTTTATATATCATGTCGGTGGAATTAGAAACCCACGATTCCATCGCAGCATTATCCCTGTGATTTAGTCCTGTTTAGAGGGGAACGGGATAAACGTATCGTGTGTTGAACATTCCAGCCACGTTGTCGTGGGGGATTTAATTAGTGACGGCCGTTTCCGCTGCGCTGCGCTGCACGCCGCAGCGATACATACACATACAGAGCGCCTACAGACAGCAAATCGATACCGATCGATTTACAAGCGAGAGGAACAAGGCGTACAATCAATACAGCAGCGCATCTGCGGCTATAAACACTGCCCACCGGCATCCCTTCGATTTCCGGTGAATGAGCATTAAATAAATGTACAACACAACGCACACATACGCTCCACCGCTCCATAAATCACTTTGTGTCAGACGCCCAGCTTCTTGACATAGACGTACTGCATCCGCGCCGACTGCATCTTGATCATGAAACTGAAGGGCAGCTCCAGCAAAAACAGGACGGCCAGCACGTACCAGTGTAACGTCAGGAAGAAGGGCTTCTCGCTGGTGGTGGACGCCAGCACCGCCGGCTGGAACCCGGCAATTTCGAAACTCTCGCTTAAATCGTAGTGGGTGTCGCGGAGGCGGTTGGCCGCCACGAAGTAGTCGCGTTGCGCTTCGAAGGACGCCAGGGTTTGGTTGTCGGACAGGACGAACTGCTTGTCGAATTTGATGCGGGTCTGCTGGAAGGCGCCGATGGTGTCCAGTTGGCGCGGGTCGGAAATGTCGGCCCAGTTGCTGAACTCGAAGGCCTGGTCGCCCGTCCACGAGGTCACCTTGACGGTGTAGGTCTCCACGCGGGTGGTACGGGAGCGGCCGCTGCCGGAGGAGACCAGGCGGGTGCGGGTCTCGTAGTGGTAGCATTCCATGTGCCATACTACCGCGGGAGCACCTGTAAACAGACGATGCGAAACGTGACCTTTGTTGCTTGACCACACGAAGATGAAAAATCTAAGAAATCTAAGAAATCCAAGAAATAATAAAACCAGTGCTAGGGCATGTTAATTAGGGCGTAAACGTACGAAGACGAAAATCTTGAGAAAGTTAAGAAACCTAAGAAACCCTAAAAAACCATTGCTGATACGTAATTGTGGCGTAATTATGCGGTGCCAGAAAATCTAAGAAACCTAAGAAATCTAAGAAACTTGTATGCGGCCTCAGTTGCGGCGTAACTATGCGGAGCCCAGAATTCCAAAAATCTAAGAGGTCTAAGAAATTTAAGAAACTTACCGCCACGAACGCTTTCTACATACTGATGGATATCCGACACCATCACTGAATTATTCAGAAACTTGGTGTTGGAATTGCAGCAGAATGTCTCCAGGATATACGCGATGTAGAACGCGCCGAGGAGAATGGAACCAGTGACCACCGCCCACGTCGCGGCGTACAGCACCGACTTCCACAGCGCCAGTAGAATTATCCCGGTGAGGATGCAGAGGATAACGAAGAGGCGCCAGTACGTGATGAACTTGCGGAACATCTCGTGGCAGGCCACGCCCGGCTCCTGCCATTCGCGGGGCTCCTTCATGACCAGATTGGTGGAGGAGGGAGAGCGGCCGTCCACGACGTCCTCGTACAGAGGCGGTGATGCCGGCATCTGCACTTGCACCTGTTCCGGCGCATTGGATTGCGAGACGGTGTAGGACACGCTGGGAATCGGTTTCGCGGAAGCGTCCATTTTGAGGAGTGTTCTTAACTAAGCGCTGTGAGTGCGTTAAATGTTTTTGAAAGAAATCTAAGAAATCTAAGAAACCTAAGAATCCACGAAGTAATAAAACCGATGAAAATACGGAAGACGATTGAGAAGTGCTTATAAGATAACGGTGAACACGTGCGATTTAAGGGTATTAATCACTCGCGTGTGGAACGACGCTGAGCGGCATCTTATCTAGCGCATGTGCGCCACAAGGACAAAGGGCTTTATCAGCCGTCTGCGCATACATTGTCATTGGACTGATGATATGGACCAACGTTGCAGTTCACAAAATTAATTATAATAACGCTGTATGGATGTGCATTGTCTTGGCTATCTACGCGCTATCTTAACATGCGTAACGCTTACGGGGATTCGGGGATTTTGCGTTAAGGACCACTTCATGATTGACGCTAATGTACGACTGTTGTTGTCAGCGGCTCATGATCAATTTCGAGGCGATCGTAAAGCTGAGGAATGACCGCTGTCTGCCGCGGTTCAAGCTATGGACGACTTTGTACACGTTAAATTTTTCGATGCATGTTTTTTTTACATGTATATGCCGTATCCCACCGTATAGCTCGGTAGTCTCTACGTATCCCTCATAATTATGTCCTCACTGTTCATTTCTGCTTTATGTACATTACCATTCCGATAACTGTCTTAGTCGGAAATTGGCCAATCTATAAACAAATAGGCTGCTCTGATGGACACTTATTAAAACATGTCAAATATAAACATTGACAAAGCAACCCAAATCGGTATTCATGATCTTAGGGCACGAAGTCGTTTTCGATGTCGTTTGAACTGCACATAATGCTACGACTACTATAATAATAATTATTTCAGTATCTTGTCAAAGCACGGCACGGCGATATAGGTATATATATGCGCAAAAGTAAGTTTGGCGGCTGTATAAACTTCTAAGCCGAATATGGATTGACGCCTCCTACTTAAAGATTTTCAGTTTACTGTGGGAATTCGGCGAAATGACCAAACCAAAACAGTTGTTTTTTTTATCAAATTCTCCAAAGATGAAATCAAGCAAAATTCCGACTTTAGGCTCGATACTTTTCCAGGTTGCTAACAGAGAAATTTCTTTTTAAGCACCTTGCTGGTACACTGCTACATAATTAAAAGTTGAAGTAAACAAACAAGCAAGTCATTTTAAGCTGCAAAAATTTTAGACAAGATTGACCGGGTCTAAACATGCCGCCGAAGCACTCACACCGCCAGCATTTTGACACAGAGGTAGTGGGCGCGTGGCGTCCGCATTCGGATCATAAAGCTGGAGGGCAGTTCCAACCAGCAGAACACGGCCCACACGTACCAGTCTCGGCGCAGGAAAAACGGTCGCTCCCTGGTCGGGGACTCCGATGGGTATCGTATCAGTCGTATCGGGTATCGTAGCGGTCGTATCGGTCGTGGACAGCCCAGGAGTGTCGCCCAGCGCCCACCGGATAAACACCACGAGGACGATGCCGGTCAGTATAGCCGCGGCGACCCTTTTGCCGCAGGCAAAGTCTGCCGCGTCCTGCCCCTTGCGGGCGTCCGCGTCCATGACGATGCTGGTGTAGCTGGGCGGTTGGCCGTCTACCCGCTCCTCATACCGTGGTGGTGGAGGACATTTGGTGTCTGTGGCCGTTGCCGATAGATTCCCTGGCATCTCGGTCTCCAACGATGCCGTCGGGACAGTGGGAGCAGTTTGGGAATGGGACGCCATTGGGAATTGTGGATTAGCTAGGGAACAGGTGCTCTCTGGAAGAGAGACCTTTCGCCCCTGGAAGGAGGTCCCTTCTGAACTGCAGCGGAAAGCGAAGAGCAAGGCAGTCCAGTAGCTGTTGCCGTTTAGCAATAAGGACTCGGGAACAGTACGGCAAATGCGCACACACGCACTAACGGTACCGACTATGTAATCTGCAGTAAAAACACATTTCTGTACTTTGCGGTTGCTTTAGTTGGCTAGTTATTGCGAAAACGGCTCGGTTTAGATTTGTACATAGTCGGCTCTCCACGTGCGGGCCTCGGCTGTATTTAGTACGTACTTTAAAGTGTAAAGCAAACATACCTTGGCTCGTGAATGATTCAATGAGCGTAAAGCTGTAGTAAAACATTTTTTTGGCTGATGGCCAACTGAAACATACAACGCGTGTAGCGACGACGCGAGTACCGTATTCCAACGACCTCGAGCTGTTATATGCGAGGTAGCTCACTGGCCGGATGCAAGAGGGTTAAGGCCGCTTATGTGCCAGTCTGCAACGACAATCCTCTTATAATGCCGATGCTATTGAGCAATCACTGCAGCACCGCAAAACTAATAATCATTACTGCCGGGTGTTTGCTTGAGATTGCCTGACCGGCACATAACCGGTTCCTTTTACCACAGCAGTTAGCCGTATCTGTATGTTTTTCAACAAGGCTAAAGCCGGTGTATCTGCAAATAATTTTTTAGTGAACATAATTTTGGCTGTTTGTTTTTTCACAAGGCTGATGATCTGATTAGCAGTTAGCGCAGTCAATACACCACAACCGATGGCTGAGACGAAGATAAGGAAAGACTCGGAAAACAACTATTATAACAAATATATTTTGAAGAACGCAATTACCAGTTATATTAATTTGTCGACTCAATGACACGAGCATAAAACTCAGCTCTACAGACTCTGTACAATGCGATCTTGCTAACTGTTCGCGATTTAGCGGGAAGTGCTTTGTCCGGTCAGCTGCGTGGCGCAGGAAGCATGCCTCTGTACAGCATTTCGGGAAGTTTCAAGGCCCTGGAAGCTACACAGGCCCAAAATGTAGTGAGCGCAAGGATGTACCGGGATGACCTTTCCTTTTTAGTAGATTTGATGTCATGGCTTCTCGGGCTTAATTTTGGCCAAATAGGTAACGTTTTGGCCAAATAGGCCAAATAGGTAACGTTTCCAGCAAAGGATTTCATAAATTATAAAGACTGTCGCTTCGTCCCGTCAAATATTGTGGATATTTGTTGTAGTCTGCAAATGACTGCTTTATAGCCCATAAGCCAACTGCACGACATACACATTCTGAATACGGTTTTACTATTTACTACTAAATAAATTTCAAAACTTCAAAAATTCATAGTCTGTAAATTAGGCGGTAGTATGGGACGCTACCTGCTGCGACAGCGTTGCTATCTCGCAATTGTGGTTGTTTTGATAAAGTTGAACTTTGTCTATTAGCTTGCAAGTCACTTGGAAAAACATCTGTTTTTAATTTAAAAAATTACTTACACCAATTTCCGCCTTATTGAACAGCATAAAGGCGCTTGGTATTGAAAAAAAGCCGGTTTTCTGCCGGTGAGTCAATAAAAAACTCAGCAGTATTGACATCTGAATTAGTTTTGCGGTGGGGCTCGGACTCCTTACGGCATGTTCATTTCTGAAGGATTTGTCGCTGCACGTGAGCGGCCTCACTCTCTGGCATCCGGCCAGTGCATTATGCAATTACACAAGGTCCTTGAAATGCGGCGCTCGCGTCCAACTTCGTACGTCGTATTAACGGGGGAGACATCCCGGGAGATGGTTGTCACCTGGAGCGGACGGGAGACCTTCCAGTGTGCAAGCTGGACGGACGTCTCGGCTCCCCAACAACTGGACAGCGTCGGCACATTCCAGCACAACCGCATTAAATTCTTCAAGCAGTTCTTCCTGGCTGACCGGGCCAGCGTGGAGGCCTTCCAGCGGCAACGCGGTGCCTTCCACCACGGCAGCCGCTGGCGGGACAAATACTGCAATTTCAAGGAGACCTTCCAGATTGCCGGATTTCAGCCGACGGTGTTGGCGTCTACGACCCTGGAGCGTCCGTTTTTCTTCCGCCGTTACTGGTACATGTTGGCGGTGTTCTGTTTGCTGGAGCTGCCCTTTAGCTTTCTGATCAGAATGCGCTCAACGCGCACGCACTATCTCTACGTCAAAAAGCTGGCGGTGTAAATGCGCCGCTGGCATTTTTGAGGCCTGGCCGCCCGGAAAATGTTAAAATCTAAATTATGCAGCATAAAGAATAATTTTTGTTGCTTTTTCATCTCAGTTTTGCTGCTACTTTGTACTTGCGCATCAATAAATATGCAATTTATTAAAAAAATATTGGAAAATTGGGTTAACAAAGTTTTCTCGATAGAGCTATTTCGAGCATTTCACACATCAGAGAATGTTGTAAGCCGTAAGATGTCTATTCGCAACGACAGCGAGACAGCCATCACACTACACTATTTGTTATTTCACCGGCATGCTGTCGTGTGGTGGTGCTTTGAAGAGATAACGTGTAAAAAAAACGAAGATGAATAATAATGATGAATATTCTGCAGTATGATAATTTACTCTAATAAACGAAGCCTCTTTACGACGACGAAGACGGCAACCAGGTCAGCTATGAAGCTGCGTTTGTACCTGGATAGACGTGAACCATGAATGATGAACCGAACGAAGAATAAGGTATATTGGTGACCTCGCCTACGCAACCATGGCACATTAGCATTGATAATTTTGCACTACGGTGACGAACCGGTACGGTCCTTCAGGAATACGATTCCAGGCGCTGATAGCCTAGCAACTGATAGGTTTCGTCTGCCAGGGGATAGAACAGATATCCCATATCTTCCAGAAATCCGTACTTCCGGCGCTTACTGTCTTCTACCAGCTGTGCCTGGCTTCTTCGAGCTGGCTCTCACGTAGCTGAGATGAAAGGTCAAAAGAAATACGAAAAAAATGGGACTACATCGAGAGCTCTCTAACAGTTCGTGGTTCAGCCGGAAATGATTTCCCCAGTCAGCTTTTGGCACAGGATGCCCTGCCCATGGTTGTTCAGGGCGTGGACATTGGACAATGAGCCATTGTCCATGCAACTGGAAAAACGAAAAGTATTGCTGCTGCTAAACTGAACGAAGGGCTGGTGCGTGTCGGCCAGGTTCTCTTACACGTAAATGGAAAGAAATGTCAAGCGATTTTCATACGTTCTGACCAAAACAAACAACCGGATCCGGAAGTCGTCATTAACGGGTCGGTTGTCAGCATTGCAAAATGGGTACAGTACGGTATCTCAGCGTCGAGATGGAAATTACCTGAAGTG